GCCGTATGAAATTTAGTTAAAATACTTAAAAAAAAAAAAATTAAAAAAAAAAAAAAAAAAAAAAAAAAAAAAATAAAAAAAAAAAAAAAAAAATAAAAAAAAAAAAAAAAAAAAAAAAAAATTAAAAAATAAATAAATAAATACTAGAAAAGTTTACTTAAAAAAAAAAAACTGAATAAGAAGATCTAAAAAAATGTCTGGCCTGGAAGTGTACCTAATATTCGTGAAGACCCATCATTTATATTTAAAATTTTACGCCTGAGATTCAAAGTTTATAGCCGAATATACATATATATTATGTATAAAATATTTATTGTTGATTGATATCGCCTAGGCATTTTGATGTAGGCAAAACGCGTGCAGCGCGAAATTTCATTAAAATATTCTAGCGGCCCATGTATTAAACAGATTTTATAATTAATAGCTTTATAAAGGCTTTTGATACATTATAATTAAAATAAAAATATATGTAAAACTCAGTCTCTTGTCTTGGGAGTGAGAGAGAGCAATCAATGAGGTCTATCTGCTGCTGTTCAATAGGCTTTGTCTAGGTCGACGACTAGCGGCTTTTAGCCTTTAATTGTTATTCTATTGATGTGGTTTTTAGTGTTCTTCTTTGTCGCAGAAGGCCTAATATATTCTTTTGTTATTGATAAATGTGGCCAGCTAAAATGCAGAGTCTAATTTGTGAGATGCTAAAGGAATGTTAATCGTTAACATTTTGTCAAATTGATTTCAAATTGTATGTTAAGTGAAGGAAGAGCTTTTCCTATACGGATATACTTTTGAATTAACTGTATATATTTAAATTTGATTGCCATTCGCTCTCATATCATTTGCTAACCATAAACTCATTAAGACAGTAGCCAATTGGCAGCGACCGCTCTCTAACCACTTTACGCCGTAAAAAATCGACTGCAATTTGCATTATTTTTGCTTGCATATCTGATTTCGTTTCGACTGTCCAATAAAGTGGAAAGTCTATGAGCGCAGAGGTTACTCTACTACTTCAAATTTGCAGGCTTTCAGGTTGAGCTCGTCAACTTTATTTCAAAATGAAATTGAAAATTATAGTGTGCGATCAGTTGGTATTTTTTCTTCTTCTTCTTCTTCGTCTGCCGCTGATGCTCTTTATGTGTGAAGCGGGCTAGGTAGGTACACGCATACATACAGACATGTAGATAGGTGTAGCTTTATAGCTTACAACTGTAAACCGGTTCAGCGTTTGGCTGCGCATGCGCCGGAAAACCTGTCCGGCGATTCGCTCTGCCCGCAAGACAATGCGCTGGTAGAGCACAGCGGCGCACAACAACAGCCTCAATGGCGCATCAATTATGTTAATGAAGCTTTAAATGTGTCTTGATATTGAAAAACTTACTGCTACAGGTTTTTCACAAAAAAAATATAAATGAAAGAAGAGTATATACATAATGAAGAAAAACGTTGGCCGGCTGCAGCTGAGCCGGTTTTTTCAAATGAAAAATGTCAATCGTGACATTATATAAGAATGAAAAAAAAAAAGAGTCTAAAGAGCAATTTGCATTTGGCGACCTTTCACACACACATTTGAATCGCTTCCACACCCTCGCACCGTGTCACATTCAGTTTTTATTTTTCAGTTTTCATTTGTAACTTGGCTAACGAGCTTTTGTTTTGTATTTTAGCAACGGGAACGGCTCTGCGCTGCCTCTGACCCTGAGCTGATTCAGTCAATAGTTTATGGCCAACACGTAGCTGACTTACATGCACATGCACATGCGCCATATTTCTTCTGGCTGGCATTTTAAGTCGGCCCAAATGAGCGTATTTGTAAGGATTTATCCCTAATCATGCCGGCTGCACACACAATTTGTTGCTGTTTTTTTTCTTTTTCAATGTCATGTAGAATGCTTGCGCCACATTCTTTTTATTGAGTAATTTATGATGCATTCGGCGTATGGTAAAGGCATTTGCCTTGTATATGTAAAGGTTTAGCTTGGCTTTGATTTTATTGTGAACCTCTTGAAAAAGGAAATACAGGGTATATGAATATTGTTGACTTTAGGTATTATATAAATATATATATATATATGTTATATATATTACTAAATTTAAACTAGATAGTTAGATAGATTAGCTACAGATAGGCAAAGCCTAACTATAAGCCTTCTACTCTTAAAATGCCTATTTCGATTGCCTTCAAAATTAGAATAAATACAACGCACAGTGGGCTTGGTATCTTTTAGTCAAGTACTCCTGACATTCTTTAATATATGATACATCATACTATATCTCTAACTTCAATTATTGAGGATTTTAAATCAGAAAACTTTAGCAAACTCTCATTAAAAAGTTCAAAGGTTCATAAAATTTTAATTATAATTTATGGGTATAAATATCTGTTACCAAAATGTCTTAAAAATTACTTTCAAAATTCAGTTAATGCAACTATCATACTCCTTACTTCATCCATTAAAGATCTTAAATCAGAGAGCCTTACCAAACTCTCATAAAAACGTTCATAAGCAAATGTTAAAAATTTTAATTATAAATAATATATTATAATAAGTAATAATATTACCAAAATATCTTGAGAGTAGCTATCAAAGTTTACACTTGCATTACCTTTACGCTCTGGTATTTCAAGTATTTATTTATCTAACACAAAGCTCAACATGCCTCGTTAACATAAGTTGCTTTTTGGGGCCACAGACTCAACCGCGAGTTTGCCTTGCTCGAGTCGATGGCTGACTGGGGGGCTGGCATTTGGTTGCAATGAGTTTTATGTTTACGATTATGATTATTAAAAGCATTTTTCTTATTCATTGCATTTAATGCAACGCTGAGCTTTGGCAGCGCTTGACTGTGCTGGGATTGCGATGCAAATAGTTGGATATATAAATGGGGTTGGTGGAATGCATAGGGGGGGAATCGTTGCAGGGTTGTTGTAGGGTGGCTTACACTATGGCAAGGGCAAAGTTGCGTGATATTTGCGATTAAAAAAAGCCAGGCAAAAAATATAAAAAATAAAACTATATAAACCATGACGCTTTAGGAAAAAAGTCAAATAAGCGAAGTTCATACCGAAAACCATAAGACAAAATATAAATAAAATATATATATATATTTTTTAATATTGAAAAATATTTGGGAAAAAAAGAAGTTTCAATATATTTTTGAAATAAAAATAAAAATAATCGAGGCGAATAGTTTCGACTACAAAATATATAAATGAATATTTGGTAAAAAAAATAATTCCCATAGCAATCTTAAAGATAACCGAAACCAATATCTATCGTATATATGCATATAGTATAGCCATAACCATGCCAAAGAAAACTATGTAGTTAACTATAGATCTTTTTGCATATGTATATAGCGTACCATATCGGGCCTGAAGTACACCTGTTGCGTATACATGGAACTTTTCAGTGAGGACGTCTTATCCGGGAATAATATGCATTTCCCTGGCATTGTTCCTCTGCCTGTGCCTGTGTCACCATTAATTGTTGTAGTTGTTGTTCCTAATTGTGTTGTTGTTGTTGTTGCTGTTGTAATGTTGTTTGCTGTCAGGTGATGATGGCCAACGCCCACATCTGTTTTCTGTGCTGTCAAACTGCTCGTCGAGTTGACTTTGGAGGCGTGCGATAGGCGTTTCATATGCGTCCACATCTGATGCCATGGCGCCGCATCTTTCTATATATATTTCATTGTTTTTATTTATTTTTTTGTTCGTTTGTTGGTGGGATGTTTGTTGGCCACACACAAGACGTAGCGTGGTTTGTTCGTATATGTATAGTTCAGTGTATATGTAGTTTAGTCGGTTGGGTTGAGAGTGTACGAAAAAATAGAAATAAATACAATTTTATTTTAATTGAATGCGGCCAATTATTGGGAGTTTTCAAAACTATAATATTATGGAGTATTTTGAATTTGTAATTAAAATTAATAAAAAGGTTTGTCTAATTATGTAAAAGTATTTTGAGTAGTTTTAAAAATGCACTTTGGTATAATATATAAACATTTTTTGTTGTTGTAAATTTTAGAATAATATATTTCGTAGCGCTTAAAATAGATTTGGCGTAGTTCAACTTACATATTGTTTTATATTTAACAAGAATGTGTTAATTTGCTGATAAATCATGATCTTTGAACTGTTGAAATATATACTATATATAAGAGACAGTAAATATTGTTTATGAGCTAAATAAATGTTTTATTTCTGTTTAGTTGTCAGGCTAGTGAACCCCGAGCACAATACAACTGCACGCACTTAGCACATGGCACGCACTTAACACCCTAACACATACAAGCATTAAGCATACACACCCACACACACACCCCCAAAGTACAGCCCCCATTTCTTAGATATTATGATGTCATGCAGTCGGCTCTTAACAATTCACAATCCACCCAACCAAAGCCAACAGCGTAAGCGATTTAAATTTCATACGCGTATAGTACAATTTGTATACTCGCTTACGCAGTTGAAAGAGAGAGTATATTGGTTTCATACAATGTTCGACTTGCTTAAGGTGTTCGAACCTTTCTGTTGAAGTGCCAGCTAAGATAAAAATATGTTGTATATATATCCCTGATTTCCCCTTTAATAAACTATAAACACAATCCTATAGTAAATTATCACTCAGCCATTTGTTATTTAATAATTAATATTATTATTATTCATTATATATTTTTTGGTGTGAATAAGTATTATGCAGTTGGTAATACCCGACTGCAACATTTTGCTTGTTTTACTTAGTACCTACGCGTATGGGGGCAGTATGATGTCAACTTTATAGACTGGCTTTTAAAGAGCTTTATTTTTAGTATTATTATTTTTTATTCTCTTTTCGTTTCGGTTTGAGATAACGCTAGCATTGCAATAGACGCCGGCCTCTTGATAAGGCAAATATTTTTGTGTAATTTCTCGAGCAATTCACTTGACTAACTCGATTTACTGGAATATTTCTGACAATTTGTTGAGGTAGTCATTCTATTTTTGTAATTAATACGAAATCTCTAAAAGAATGAGGTGAACGATGGTGAATCATTGCGGTTTGAAGGCTAATGGATGAGGTAGTTTGGGTATATGAAGAGTTCAAATGAATTTGATGTATTCAATTGAAAGTGTTTATTAATTAATAAAATATAAATTCGTCAGGGAGATTTCTAAATATATAGCTTGCAAGTAGTATAAATAAAATTTAATAAAGTTGATTGAAAAATTATTTATATTTATTGTTTTAATTTGCTGAATATTTAGTTTTAAAGTGGTACAGAATTATATTTGATAGAATTTCTTCGAAGTATTACTAATTTACTTTTAGTTTCTACTAATTATAATTATTTAATTATTTATTGGAGGATTAAAATGGACTAACTAGTTGATTTACAATGTTTTCCAATTTGTTCTATATTTGTTTATTATTAATTTTTTATTATAAATATATTTTTAATAAGGAAACGTTTTGTAATTTTGCAAATTTTTAATAAAATATTTTTGTACTAAAATTATTTCACAAAGAAATAAAAACAAATATCTTAAAATTGTTTTTGTAATGAGTCTCTTTTTTTTATTGGTTTTATATAATTCATAGCTTGAAATATTTTATTTCATGTATAAAAATCTTCCAAGTCTCATATATGTAAATATATTATTATTACAAGCTGTTAAAAAAACATTCGCTACTTACGTATATATTTACACATATTTCCCGTTTAAATAAAACAGCTAAGCTCAATTAGCCTGTCATGACAAGCAAGCACACAAATACACATACATATACTATACAAACACGCATATGTGCACCTAGTGCACGGTAGCTGTGGCCAAGGCTAAGCCAAGCATAGCACATGCATCTGTTTTACACAATGGACGCCCCTCGCATCATAATATTCAAAGCTCATATTCCACAAAGCCCAAACCCCAATGCGGTCAGCAATGCATTTAAAAGTCATGCCCTTGTCGCTAAATGAGTCTATGGCATTTTGGGGGTCTCAAAACGTCCAGAGAGAGGGGGAGAAAGGCGTAAATATGTAGGTGAAAGATTGAATGAGTAACATGGGTGTATGTGCCCCTCCCCCGCTCTGCAACAGCAGCGTAACGCGCTAAACAAATGAAAATGATTTCCGTTCGTCATGCAAACAGTTGTGCAGCACGCCCCGCCCCTGCCCTCTGCCCACGCCCTTGTAGCCAAAAAAACAAAAAAAAAAAAAAGGCAACACGCTGCCATTTGGCAAGTGCAGCAAACGGAAGCAATGAAAATGGGCACAACAATTGCCCCGACTGTGTGTGTGTGTGTGTTTCGTTATTACCATGACCCACGTCGCCCTCCACTGCAACTGCATTTGTGTATGTATATTTTTTTCTTAATTCATAAACAATTCATTAAAACGGGAAATGGCAATTAATGCATGTATACGATATATCATAAAATTATATACAAGAGGTAACTGTTTGAAAGCGTATGACTAATATGTATATACCCTGTAGATTATATCAATTATGCTTCTTGATTAGATAAGACTTGCAAATAGTTGTTGTCGTATATATTTCTTTGAGGATTTTATTCATAACGGGAGTAGCTACTGCAAAGGAAAATTTAAATGTATATATATATATATTATTTTTTCTTAATTTTTCCTATTTAATATAAATGAAACTGGAGTCTATGCTCTAATAGTAAAGAAAATATATTTAGAAGCGAAAACATATTATTTATTAATTTTTTTTGTTATTTATTTTTACCTTTATTAAAAATTAATCTGTCTCCAATTAAACATTTTTCTTTCTGATATAATTGTTTTCTGTTATCAATTACATCAGCTTCATCTGCTTCTATATTATACCCTATTTTAGCACTTATTAAATGGGTATATGCATAACTACAGGGCATGCACAACATGTGGATGCAGGAAGTTTGTCATGCGAGGCAGCTGAAGGAGGTCAGTTCCCAGTTCGCATATTAAAGATCTCAAATATGTTTCATTAAAGGCAGCCATGCAGCCAGGCTGTCAGGCAGAGGCCCCCCACAAAGCAGGCAGGTTGCTGTTTAGCTATAATGCGATGTGAATCAAATGCTAACCGAGTTACTCACGCATCCACTCACATCTCCCACCACACACACACACACACACAATGAATGCTGATTGCAATGCGAACGTCTCAGCTCTTCCTCTTGAGCAGCAGGTTGCCTTGATTTTACTTTAGCGTCGCGTCTTGTCTTGTTATTTTATTTTTATTTTTCATGCCATGGCTCGTTTAGCGCAACAGACTAGGGGCAGGAGGGGGCATGCATGCGCAAGTGCAGGGCGCTTAACTCAATTGCATGTTGTATGCAACAATTCGTTGCAGCTTCTCGCACTGCAACAACAAACTAGATACAAACAACAACAACAATAGCAACAAAAATAGCAACAGCAACAGCAACAACATCTGCCAGTTGGCATGCAACATGTTGATGTAATATGCTAATTTTGATGCTGTGCCATCCATTGTCTCGAGTTTTTCCATAGAAATTTGCTAATGTCGAAGTCGAAGTTAAAGCTGAGAAAGACAAGGCAGACAGTTTGAGGCAGCACTTGAAAGAAAACTTGAATAAATTTGGAAAGGTTGCTTGATATTGTGTGAAGATCAATAAAAATGCATAAGACGGGCTTGGACTGGCAAAGGGAGCGGAGCTACGCGAAAAAAAAAGAAAAAGTCAAAGAGTTGCATACAAGATGCACTAGATAGATACATAAATACACTATATACTTATATGATTTATAGAGTTTAAATATAATTTATATATAGTTTATATATATAAATGTCATATACAGTCAAGACTATATACTTATATGATTTATAGAGTCTAAATATAATTTATATAGTTTTTATATATAAATGTCATATATAGTCAAGGGAATATTTCTCTCTACGATTTCTGTACTCAGTACCGAGCTTTCTATATATCATCATATCTTCCAGTATGATGCCCATTCCTTTTTATAATTTGTTGACCTCATGGTTTTACTACTTTTTCTCCCTCTCTCTCACACCCTCTCGCTCTCTCATATATTTTTTGAGGCCAGCCCTTTCACACTTTACTTAACGCACAAGTGTGTTGCTGCCCACACTCTTGATCAATTTCACCCAATTTACATGTTGCCATATTAAAATTAACACACTGCTCTACTTAGGGCCTGCTGCTTGCTGCCCACCAAATGCAATCTATCAAAGTGCATTAAAAATAAAAATTGGCCCCAGCTACAGCTGGATGCACGTTTCACTTCGTTTCGGTGTTGGTGGTTTTTTTCTGTCTTTTTTTTTTTTAATGGGTCAAAGTCTGACCGAACCGCTTAATTGTGATATATCACTTTGCTCCGAGAACATCAGCATTATATGTGTTATATATATCACATACGCATATAAAAAATGAAACTACATGAGGCACACAGAAAACTTCAAAATTTTTGCCGCAAATCTTTGCCAAGATATAGAAAACTTCAATTCAATTCAATATGTAAATGAAAAATATTTTTTCTTTAAGTTGGGAATTTTTCGCGTATAATATTTATGAAATATATATATGAAATATGAATATAAAAATGAATATTTTCTAAACTTTTTATGTTTAAGATGTCTATATGTATTATTATTTACAATCTGATGCATAAATAAAATAAATAAGATGTCTATATGTATTATTATT